TATATATATATATATGTCAATCTGATCGAGATGGCGGGCAGAGCTAGGGTTTCGCCCGATGGCAATTCTCTGGTTTGAATCATTCAGTTTTTAATCGTTTTTGTCGTCTTTGACGACAAAGGATTTCTCGTACTCGACGACGAAAGGTTTCTTCTCTTTCGGATTTTGCGCAAATCTCCTCCTTGGCGCATCGTTTCGTCCTGCCCAACGACGAAGGGCTTTGGCGTCGTGTTCGCTGAGCTTCGTCGAGGCACCCTTTTTTGCGGTTCGTGTCTTCTGCGCGGCTTTTCCTTTCTTCGTGGACCTCGTCTGCTGCGACTGTTCCGCGGCTTCGACAATAGTTGCTTCGCCCTGACGTCTTCGGCACGTCATTTGCCCTTTGCCTGACTTGGCAAGGCTTCTCCTTGCTGTGATGGAGTTTCTTTCTTCTTCGGTTGAACCTGGCAAAGCCTCCTTTGCCCACGTGGTGGGTAATTCTCAGGTGAAGACGGCGGTTGTCTTCCCCTCAAGTTTTAAGGAGTATCGTAACGATACAGGTAATTGCCCTTTTATTAAGAATGCAAGCAAAAAAGTGGAAAAACAATATTTTTTCTCATTGAGTCAGAAATTTCAACTCTGACTGAGAAATTCAAGTTTGCTCTTATTGGAAAATTTTCGTGGGGGCACCTACCTTTGGAAGTTATCAGGAAAAGTTTTGATGATCTCATATTAGCAGGAAAGTGAAAAGTAGGGCTCATAGATGGGAGACATGAATTGATTTAATTAACCGTGGTTGAAGACTACACTCGAATTTTCTCCAAAACATATTTTAACATTGCTGGTAAATCAGGAGGAAGAAGAAAAATGGCAGGTTTACACATTCAGGAGAAATAAGAAAAATGGAGGCCTAATCAAGCTCAGGAACTTAATGGATGATGCATTGATTACTCGGGTAATGGCACACAACTCACTAATTTGTTAGTTGGCTCTCTTCCTAGAGCTAGAGGCACAGACAAGACTAATTGGGTCGTCCCTAAATACTTGTTTCTGGGATTTGGCGGTTTTGGTTTTTTGGGCTTATATGTATCTTTTTTTTTTTGGGATTTGTGTGTTATACCGTGTGAGTTGGGTGCCTTTTTTGGGCCCACTCATACATTCTATCTGCATCTTTTCTATTTTAATATATCAGCTCTTGGGCTTTATATATATATATATATATATATTCCATCGTAATCCTCTTTAGGAACTGGCTGACTATTATTCACCGTCTCTTAACAACATTTGTAAGAAACTCAATATCATTCGCAGAGAAAAAGCCATGAAAACATGGAGTAAAATACCTAGCGCCATTTCTGATGAGTCCAAAATTAAGCCAATTTCCATCCTGACGAATCTTCACATATACTTATATTGATCTAAATACATAACTCTGCAATTATTATTTTCTCATGCTGTATGTGACTTGCTGTATTCTTCCTGTCATCCACAGCATTGACCTTATGCTGAGCATTAAGAGTATCTTAAGCTATTTTTTCTCTTGAACTTGATTAACTAGTTTTACCCTCCTTGTTCATATTTCACACTGTAATCATACGTGCGTCTTCTCAGCTTCATACTGCTGCTTCAGAATGCATTCTAGAGATTGTCAAACTAAATCAAAACAGTTCGTTGGAGAAAAAGAGAATTGCCAAGTTCAGAGACGACTTAGTTCATCTAATTGAAATCGAAAAAAGCGAACAAGCGCGGACGTTTCTTCGAAGATCAATCGAAATCCTACAAGAACTTGAAAAAGGAGATTCCCGCGAAATTTAATATGATCAGAATGTGACATTATTGCACTTCACTTGTGTGCTAATTCTAGTTAACATTCAAGTGTTCATTATTCCCACACTACAGAAGAAAAAGAAACAGATAATCAATGTTATAAAAGGTTGTCTTACCCTGTATGATTTCGCAACTAATGGTATTTTAATTCGTTCTATCATTGTATACAATACAAGGAAATAATTATATTCGGCAAATGGATAAATAACATATTGATTGTATTAATTGTTTCTATAAGAAAGATTTTTGTTAACCGAAACAAGTATCTACCTGTGTTTGAAATTTATGTTTTTATATGAATTTTCTAGTAGAATAGGAAGGAAGATTAGTGTTACAAGTGTGCATAAATTTGGTTCAAAATAATGCTATATTAATTTTACTTGATTTTATAAAACCTCTCTCTTGTTACTAAATCTTATTGGTAATTTCTTATGTGATTGATCATGATAGAAATCTGGCTACTTTTCAGTGTAGTGGCATGCATTGCTTTTTCTTGATTCTACATTTTGATTAATTAAAGTTAAATTATATGAAAATCTTGTTTTACTGTGCTGATGTGTCATTCTCTCCCAACACTTTTAATTTCTCTTAATTCATTGATTCAAGTTGGCCTTGGCGATTCTTGTGCGTAAATTGTAATGTTAATTTATCACTGTTCTTAGTGCTTAAAAGTTAGTTAAAATTCATTTTTAACCAAAAGGAAAAATAATTGTGGGTGATTCAAGAAAGCGGAGAAAGATTTAACCAAACCAAAACTTAAAAAATGTCACGGGTGGCGTGGCGGCGGGGAGGCTGGACGGCGTGGCGGCAGGGCGGCAGGGCGGCGTGCTTATACATATAAATCAAAGACACACTTACTGGCGCGCACCGTGCCCAGTAAGTATCACCAAATATGTAAAAAAAAATGTTTGGACGATTTACAAGCATGGACACAAATTTTTTGTATTGATATCTAACATCTAAGCTTTATTTTTAATGTATGTCATTTTACGCATGAAATGGTTTGAGTGAAAATCATGATATTTTAATGTCTAAGAAAGATTTTGGGTAGTAGAAATGAAAAACATGAAGTTTAAACGTTAGATATGTGAATACATAAGAATTGAGTGATAGGAACGCAAATGACCCAACAATTTTACTGGCTCTATAAATTTCAACAGCCAGCTGAAAAGTTATCCTGAGCTCGTTGGATGCCTACTGTGGCAATAGAATCTCAGTGAATAAACATATTGCATTGATTTTCATATTTTAGTTTAATGTATAATATTTAAATGAAGTCTAGAAATGCATGCTCTAGTTATTAATGAAAATAATCCTTATTTTTTGATGCAGTGAATTATTATTTATTTAAATACTTTAATCAAATGATAACAATTTTTCAGCAAATTAAATCAAATAATCACTCTAATAATCTTTTGTTTCTTCTTTAGTCAGCTTCAACCATACCCTAATGAATGACTATGATCAGTTCTAAGTTTAATTAGACTTAAAGGAAAACGTCTTATGATTGGTACATGTTCTTAAGCTCTAAATTAAATATTAATTAACTTTGGCAGATCAAATAATCTTACAAATTTAATTTAAATGCACACAAGCAAATCATAATAAGGAGTTCTTTTACAGTTCATGTTTTCTCTAACCAGAGTACATTTATCTTATTAAATTTGGCTTTACAAAGATGCGCTAAATCGTATTTGGGCTAATTTATATTTATTTAAAAATTTGTAATAAAATAAATATGAAATATCAAATTGATGTGTCATCGAGAAATTTTTATCATGAAGCATATATATATATATATATATATAGTTAACACAAAAAACCTCACAGCCATAGATACAAGGTGTACCTATGAATGAGAGGGGATGTTATTGAACAAGAGATGGGGTTACAAAGATATAAAGAAAGGAAGACCCAAAAGATCTCCATCTAACAGAAAGGAGAGGGGGGGACAAAACCATGTTAATTACAAAAATTTCAGTATGCCTTGGCCAACCAATTTGTTGGTCTATTACCTTCTCTATGTAAAAATGTATATTTTATGGTAATGTTACTTGCCATGAAGTTCATTTGTTTATTCCGGAGCAATAAATTCTAAGGGCACTCTAGTTGATTGTTCAGAATGTTAACCATAATTTGGGAGTCTGATTCAACAATAAGTTGTTGGCAATGAGAAGAGCCCAGTAAACTGCAATAGTCTCAACTTCCAATTCATCCTTGGTAACAGTAAGGGATTGGAAATACACTAAACACTTGCACTGCCATTCCTGGAATACACCCCCAATGTCAGCTTCTGAAACTAGGAAGCTTCCATCTGTATTCACTTTAGTCCGGCCCATGGCAGGTCTCTGCCAATAAACAAGCCTACCAATAAAAAAGTGGGGTAGGCTACCACCTATCCGGGAGCAAATATCAGGGAAATCCTTAAGTTTGATAAGTTTGGCCAGGTGCATCAAACAATGGTTGGCAACAGTGTTAGATTCGAGAAGATTCTTCTCATATTTATGTTGGTTCCTAACCATCCAGACAAACTAGGCCACCATACAAGGAACGGGGGAGAGGTTTACCTGCTGTCATTCTTGCCAACAATTGTGGAAATGTTGCCATGAGAGGGTGACTGTGTTGATGTTAAGCTGGTTCAAGACATTATTCCATACATTCTGGACAAAAGGGCAACCAAGAATAAGTTATGTAGGTGTTCCTCATCTTGTTTACACAACACACAACAAGAGGGTTCCCGAAGTCCTTTGAGATTAAGTATATCATCTGTAGGAAGCATATTTGAAATTAATCTCCAGTAAAAAGAAATACATGGAGGAGGACAAAACCTTGCCCCAAATATGTTTACCCCACAAAACATTTTGCACTTGGTCACAATTTTTGTAAATATATGCAGATACACTTTGAGAAATGTTTTTCTTGATGATAATTTTTTCCTTTGTGGATGTCTCAACTGGATTCCTCAGCAACCTACTGGTTTGAGAGCTGTCTAAGATGTTTTGCTAAGCTTGGATTTTCCAAGAGCTATTTTCCCAGCAGTCAAAAACTTTAAGATTCAAATTGGTGGAAGATGGATTTTTATCAACTAGCTTCCCCTCCAATGCCTATTTATTTAACCAGAAGTTAATACCACATTCCCCCAATTCTCAAATCAATAAGTCTTCTGCCTTGGATTTAACTTTGAGCATAACATGCCAAATTTTAGAATCCTTCAGCTTTTTGGACACCAAGGAAGTTTGATGATTCCTACAATACTTCCACCTCAAGAATTTGACCCAAAGGGAAGATTGAGATCAGAAGTGAATCCACAATTTGCAAAAGTTAATGTGTTTGGGGTGATGGAAGCTTTTGAAACCCACCCTCCCAGCATGAAGAGGTTTACACACTCTTTGCTAGCTAGTCCAGTGGACTTGGTTCCTTTTCCCATACCATAGAAATCTATTGAAGCACATTTCCATCAGTAGTTGAGTACTTTTCTTCATGATAACCATTTTTGGGATATAAGAAGGGAATGCTGAAAGAACATTCCTTAAGAGAGTAATCCTCCCTCCATTAGAGAGGAAAAAGTTGGTCCAGCAGCTAAGTTGTTCATTCATTTTTGTCACAACCTCATCAAGCTGGGTTTATCAGGTTTTACCTTTCAGTAATTGAACACCTATGTACTTCAGAGGAGCCTTGCTTGTGTTGAAACAAATGTAATTTGAAATCCAGTGTCCTTACCCATTTTCTAAACAAGATGATGCATTTGTTGGTGTTGAATTTTATCCCCGAGCAAGATTGAAAGATCTGAAGACATTTATAGATAAGTTTGACAACAGATTTAGTGGCTTTGAAGAACAGTATGATGTCATCAACATAAGATAGATGGTTGATTTTCAATATTAGATCTATGGTTTAATTGAATAAGGGGGAATCTTTGAGATAGTTGATTTTGCATTCTGGATAGGTAGTAAAAAACTAGGATGAAATTTGTTGGGGAAAGTGGGTCAACTTGTTTGATTCCTCTGGAAGAGCTAAAGAAGCCATGTGTTTGCTCATTAATAAGGATGGAGTGAGAGTTGCTGGCAAGCCATCTATTAATCATGTTAGTGAAATGAATAGAGAAACCTCTAGCCAAGAGCACCTCCTCAATGAAACCCTGATGAATTGTATCATATGCTTTTCTGATGTCAAGCTTAAAAATTACTTTACCCCCTCTACACCTTCTATCCATATCAAGGATCATTTCTTGAGCCAACAATACATTATCAACAAAGTTTCTGCCTTGTATGAGTGCTGATTGGTTAGAGCTTATTAAATGGGCTAGACGAGGTTGGAGCCTAAACACTAGAACCTTGCTGAAATTTTTAGTAACCACATTAGTAAGGCAAATAGGTCTAAAGTGTTCCCACTTATTTTTGTTCCTTTCCTTACGGATGAGAGTGATGGTAGAGGCTTTGATATAGTTAGGAGGATCCACCCCCTTGAAGAAACATTGTACTGCCTCAATGACATCATGTTTCACAATATGCCAGACTTTTTTATAAAAATCTGCAGAATAGCCATCCAGGTCAGCCACCTTATTATTTTTAATGGAATTTAAAGCCGCTTTGATTTCATCTTTTTGAGGGACTCATATGAAGTTCAACTTGCTAGTTACTCTTTTTCTTGAGAGAAGAGAGTGGCGCTGATAGGGATTATGCTTTCAGGGGGTTGAGGAAGTAATTCCTAGAAGTGACTAACAGCACTAGAAGCAATACTTTCAAAGGTGTTGAGTCATTTACCCATAGAGTCTTTAATTTGGTGAATAGTGTTACACTTCCTCCTATAATTTATACAGGCATGAAAGTACTTTGAGTTTCTGTCCCCCTCACAGAATTTGTTCATTGAAGTTTTTTGTAATAGCAATTCCTCCTGAAGAGTAATGGCATTCAGAAGAGTCTCATCAGCTGAGAACAAATCTGCTTCAGAAAAAAGACCTGAGGCAAACTGCTTTTCCAGTCTTATAACAAGTTGTTCAGCTTCCTTCACTTTAGTTTGCACTTTGCCAAAACAGTCCAGTTCCAGTTCTTTAGGTGTTTACCAAGTTTTCCTGCAGATATATTTATAGATATATAAGAGAACACAAGTATCTCTAAGCAGCAACTGAATGAAGAATCATCATAAACATATGTACAAAACTCATGAGATAATAGCATGCCACATAGAATCTCAATTAATTGTGTAAAAGATTGCAATTTATGGTCAAAATTTGTTGAAGACTTCCTCAGCCA